AAAACTATCGCTCCTGTGATATTCACAGGCTGGATATATTTGTCGTACACGCGAATCCCAGTGGCGATGGAGATGTAACATCCAATCCATATGCATTGTTTAAGGATTAAGAAAACCCGTTCAGCATAATCAATCCGCAAATCACTGTAGTACATACTCTGCCCATTCGGTGGAAACCTCGCCTCGAGGTATTTAAGACCGTCTTCTTTGTTTTCTTCAAGTTGACAGCCAGAAATCTCGAGAGTTGCCTTCTCCGACACTGGGATGCAGCCTGAAAACAGTTCTTGTCTGCCCAGACTTTATAGATTAACCGACCGATTTTGCAAACTCCTTCACCCATGACACCATAGACTTCAGATCACCAATATTTGCTCCCAGTAAGGCAATATCATCGGCATAGTCGAGATCAGTTGGTCAGCGACCGGGTGTCAACTAAACATCCTCGCCCTCGTGGAGGGCTCTCACGAAAATCCAGTCAGTGCCGTAGTTTGACTTCATTTGCCACAGGATACAACCCTGTCGAACGCCATACCGGATACCGAGAGGCAAGAAAATACTGCTGCGAACCAAAATAGGCGCAGTGACAAAAGGCTTTGATCATGCCGATGATATTTGGCGGTGCACCACCTACTACCATTATCCACCCCAGGGACGCATAATGGACGGACTCGAACGCGGCGACAAAGTCAGCAACTCGGACAACCCTCGGCTGCTAGGAGTTATGGCGTAATTGGGGAAAGCGCCTCTGTGAAAATATCTGATCCGTTCATCCACGTCCAGTACGAAATTCTGCTTGCTTGGACATTCTGCTGGAGTCACGCACAGCCTGTAGTCGCCCAAGAGGGACAATAACGAGGACCTTCGCAGCAACATCCGTGAGGCTTATGCCGCGTTAGTTCTCGCATCCTGCCTTCTTTCCCTTCTCGAGGATAGGCATAAGCGTGACTGAGTCCCAGTCATAAGGAGCAACTTCATTTCTTTACTCCTGTTCAATCACATCATATAGACAGGGCGCCAGAGTGTCAACAAACGACTTGTAGATTTCACCGGGAATACCGTCCCCTTCGGATGCCTTGCAGTATGCAGCTTATTTCAGAATTTTCGCAAGTATTTCATGAGATAAAACATCTACTGTACAGTCAGAGTCTAAACTCAAGTGCCACTTAGAATCCACACAAATCACCCACTTGAATCCTTTGAATTCTCAATTTAAATGAGTCAGATGGGAAGAGATGCGAAAGAATACCTGAAGCTGTATGAGTTTCGGGGGTTTCTGCATCCGTTGTAGAGGCCTCGTCCAGGC